GCGTACAGTTTATCAACTTGCACAAATTTCTTAAACGTATTTATCGGCTGCGAAACGGAATGTTTCTAGAAGAAAGAGGGCATTGTAGATCAGACTTAGGAAATGCAAGCAGTACCTGATAACATCAATGCCCCTTTTTCGGAGCAAACCTTTCGAAAAGTTCCGAGAATCTTTGTTCAACTCTGCAGCCTGACGCTCGCGTGCGCTCGGGGAGGTTCTCGCATAGGAATGTATTTACAAACACGAGCTGGGCGCGTTATTGCCGATCGTGACGAGGTTGAACAACGACTAGAAAATCGCGCCGAAAGAATGTTATTATCTACGAGTTCTTTTATCGACGTATTTGCAGTGGATCTACCGCTGTACAATCTAATCGCAACGCATATACCGTTTTCCGAACTAACACACGGCTATCGGAAACCACTCTGGAAATGTACTGGGGAAAAAATAGCGGGATTGAATCTCGCGAAATTGGATTAATTCTCATTCGCCGATATCGGCTGAGAAGACCCTAAGGGGGATAAATTCGTTCGAGGGGTAGGTCGATCGAATTTACGTAAAAATTTCCGATCGCTCTCGACGTTAATAAAGCAACGACACGCCGCGATTAATTACACATGCGTTGTAATGTCAGCGCTGATATCTGTAAATCGCGATCGCTAATGAATTCTCGGAGTGGCTATTAGATGACACAGCAATCGGCAATTCGCATGCTAATGCAAACGTCACGCGAGATACTTATGTTCGCTTCGTTTTTTTTTTGCCGCAAGTTCAACGTTTCGAGTTTTCGCACGGGTTGTATGAGAGAAAGTATTTTCTTTTATATACTACAGATCAATTAAGAGATGCCAATTATCCAGAGTTGCTTCTTCGTAACCTAATAATATATAAAATAATTAATATATAACAAGTAAATATGCACAGGACACACAAATTGCCAGCAGGAACATTGCGTTCAGTTCTTCGTACGGCGGTTAAGGCGAAAAAATAATTCTGCGGATCGTTTAACTACCTGAATTATCTCAGTATACGTAATTTTCCAGCCGAAAGCACGGGAGTTACGAAAATGTGTAATTAATGGCAACAAACTGAGGGGGCAAAGTAAATTCAGCGGGCTTCTCGAGAGCCTCCATAAAGATCTTAATCTTTTCCTAAGGCGAATCGGAGCTCGACCGCAAACTTGGAAAACGTACGGAATAAACATATTCCCATCGTGAATACGTAAACCTCACGTACTTGGCCTGTCGTGGACGTAAGGCAAAGCAGAGAAAAACTTACGTCATATACCTTCACGACTTAAGTTTACGGAATCGTAAACACAATCTTTCTGCTCAGGCCCCAAGGCTGGTATTACATTTGTCGCATGACAGATTTTTCAAGTGTGTCGATTGGCTGCAGGATAGAAAAGTTGTATCTAAAACTTTTTTAACTTGTAGCCAATCGACGCGCTTAAAAAATATGGCAATTATTTAGATTAACATACCCCCTCCAATAAACTTGGGCTCGATATATATTATAGAGGTCACCCTTCTGACCTGCAACTTTTGTTTAAAACATTTTTCAAAATTTTTTATACCTGGTGAGATATTACATATAATTGCATATAATTCATCGACATTGTTTTGCAAATAACTTTTTAACAAACAACGTTCGCAAACTAAAACCTTTTGCATGTCACTCAGGAGGGTTGCCTCTATAACATATGCCAAGCCCAAGGTTCTTGGAGCGGGGGGGGGGATGTTAATATAAATAATTACCAAAAGTATGTCGTACGACAAATGTAATAGCACCCTAAGTTCGGAACAAAGAGCGACAGGAATTCGAAAACTCCTAACTCCGCTTCTAATACTAACAAACGGCTCGTTGTTTGTTCGACGCTTCGGGGAGGAACGCACGGTACACGTGTGAAACAATTAATCGCGATAGATGGACGACGTCCAGTAACAATACAGCTAACCATATGCCGTACCTGAAACAATTTTTCCCGGCATTGGACTACGAAATGACACGAATGTCATCGCCGGCTGTCAAATCCTGCCCGTCAAGTGCCAGCAATTCCTGCTCGTAGAACGTAGAATTGCTCGTTCTCTCGTCACAAAGGAGAGAAACCGCGAAACAAATGCCTTATTACGGTCGCGGACACGCATCGGAGTACAGACGCGACTGCAGGCGAGTCGCTTCGCTAAAATAGACCGGCTTGTCTTCGCGGCGTTTCCTCGACTTCGTTCCTTTCCTCCTCTCCCGATGCAGAGGGTGCAAGCAAGAGCTATCCGGTAAAAATTGCAGGAGACGTTCAAGGATGAGAACGTGCGTTCGGAGCAAACAGCGGGCCCGTTCGTTCGGTCGTTCTTGTTCCCTTCCCTCTTCCGCCTCGCGGACGGTCCTCTCCGTGTCGCTCTCCGGTCATCTCCATGTCGTCCACGGAATTTTCCATAGAAGCGGGGCGCGCGTACACGCTCGTACACGCGTCCTATTTCTGCGCCGGGTCTAGGAGCGCAAGAGCGCAGCTGAAAATAGCAAGCAGGTCCGCGAGAACTGCGCGGACCCAGGGGTCCGGCGGTTGACTCGGGACCGGCTTTCGCAGGGCAGCTTCGTTTCCTCCGCCGGCGGTGACGTGACACGCACGCGAGTCGTCGTGTCGTTGCGAACGGGAGGGAGGGACAGCGAGAGGGACATACGCTCATTTCCGCAGGAGAGCGAGGGGTCCGTGGCTCGCTCGTTGGTTCGCACGCATGCATGCATGCACGCATGCACGCACGCACGTACGCACTCACGCACGCACGCCCGCACGCACGCACGACCGCCCCGTCGTGCCGTGTCCAAAATGGCTGGTCGCTAAAATTAGCCAGCGAACGACGTGGGCAGAGAGGTTATGGCAACGGCAGGAAAAAAAAAAGAGCGATTGGCGATTCAATTCGACGCGACGATCGCCGTTAAACGGACCGTTAAAGTTGGAGAGCTCGCCGGGAGACCGGAGAGAAAACTTACCTCGTTGTCGAAGTAAAGTCATATAAGATGGTATCGCCCTGCTGGACGGCCGCTTTCTAGCGTGAAAATCCTTCGCTCGGAAGAGCCGAGATACGGAGACAGACAGATCGCCCTTTCTGCCCCGAGGAGCAACCCGACACGCCGAATTGCGATGCCTGGGCCCGCGGTGTGCCTATCGACGTAGTCGAGCTTGCGGGATGACTCGCTTGCGCGACGGAGAATCGGAGCGCGATGGAGCGATAAGGACAGAGCCGGCGGCGGCCTTCTGGTGCTCTACGTCGTCACTCCCGGTTGCCTCGCGGCGCTGTCGACGAGCGAGGTTGACGCTGCTGACTGCTGCTGGTGGAATCGCGCGGTGATCGGCGGGCTCCTCGATCAATCGGGACTGGAAAATGGGAGAGTAATCGAGCGCTGACCGACAACGTTACAAATCACGTTCGTTGCGCGATGGCTACTGCTTCGCCGCGTGAACGTAGCCGCGGCCGCGAGCGCCGCGAACGCGGCTCACTTCGCGGCGTTTCGCGCAGTATTGTATCGATGACTCCGTCGGTAAGGTCGGTAATATAAGCGAGTCCGTCGATGAAATCGGATGTATTTAGTCCGGACTCGCACCCAGGGGCAGAGCGTGTGGTGGTCTCGACTTCACCCGGGCCATTGGCGGTCTGTATATTAATATGTGATTATATTATATTGTATTATAAGGCAGAGAATATATTCTCGGCTTTTTAGTCAGAAATTTACTTTGTACTTAGGCCGGTATTCATAGTCCGTTCTTATACAATTTAAGATGATGTGTTTTCAACCAATCACAGAGCCGTATAATTTGAAATAAGAATCGACTATGAATACCGGCCTAAAGGCCTGTGTCCACGGTGCTAGAACTTGGTCCAAGTTCTAGTTTCGAGAAATCTGTAGCCAATCAACGTGCAGCTATTCCATAAAAGCTGCAAGTTGATTAGCTACACGTTTCTTGAAACTAGAACCATTGACCTTAAGACAAGCATTTTTTTCACTAGAAATGACAAAACGCGCGCTTCGCGCGCGGTTTGTATTTGAACATTGTATATTTTTAAGAATTTGTATGCATGCAAAGAAGTTATTGCATGCGCAACGTCAATTAAAAATAAAAAGTAATTTATCACTCACTGATACGATTCGCAACAGCAGAGATGCACATCGTTAACCATATATGGTAAACTGTAAAAATACAAATATGTACACGATTATTACAGAATAATTATGTGAAATCTAAATTATTGCATTAAATATACAAATCTTTCAGGAAAAATATATTTAAAGGTCTGGGACAATTTAGAATTCCTCAGTATATACCAAATAAAGTATGCTGTGTGGGATACGTTCAAAAATAATTTTTAACATTTAATATAACATTTAATTAAGTTTCATCTTAACTCAGAGAGCCGAGAAGCGACCACTTCGATCTTAGCTCAGAGAGCCGAGATGTGACCTATTCCATCTTAGCTCAGAGAGCCGAGAAGCGATTAACTTCGATCTTAGCTCAGAGAGCTGAGATGCGATTACTTCGATCTTAGCTCAGAGAGCCGAGATGTGCTACAATTAGCTCAGAGAGCCGAGAAGCGACCACTTCGATCTTAGCTTTTCTTTCTTTTTTGTTCTCTCTCTCTCTCTCTCTTGTTCTCTCTTAACTTTCGTTTAACTATATAAATAAAAGATTTATATTTGCAATATACATTTGCATATTTGCAATTTTATATGTATACAAAATACATTGGAACACGTGGAACACATGCGGACAAAAATTACTTGATTACTTAAACATAGATGCTTTTTGACAATATGACCCGAAGCGAATTAACGCACCGCACCGTACAATATACATACACGTCGTTGATGTATACAATACATTTTTTTCTGTTTTGCGGTGTACAGCAACACAAATGCGCGGCATCTCGCATGACTCGCATCTCTCTCTCTCTTCAGGTATCTCTGACGCGCATCAACGGGAATCGTCGTCGTTCACCGGTGAATCCTGCAAAATAGAATAGTATCTAATTTAAATTAGGAAAGTAAAGAGACAAAAATATCGCTCGTTCTTTTAAATGACTAATTGTAAGGTAGATTAGCGCCCATGTTGCCTCGTCTCAATTATCACGTGTGGTCGCGTCGAGTTTAACCTCAAAGCAGCGAACGACGGCCTCTGAACCGCGTGAAATGTGGACTTTCTTAAAAGAGATTGACAAGTTAATATAAGTGAGAGACGGAGACGGACGGAGCAGAGTCATGCGTCAAAAGTCACAAATTATTACAAGCTGATTACAGGTTGACGGCACGTTAAATAATCCCTTTCCCTTCAAAACAAAGACGACATACCGCGGCTCCGTCGAGGGATAAAGTAGAGTAAAGGAAACGACCCCGTGAATCCGAATCGGGAGGCAATGAGGGGCGCGATGACGGTGTTCAGAAGCGTGCGACTCAGCGAGCTCGCGGTGGCGTTTCGCGCGTGCCACAGGAGCTACTGCACGGAGAGCTACACGACGACGACGAACAAGGTGGTCCATCCGTACTGCCAGATTCACCCGTGGAAATCGCTCGACGAGTTCGCCAAGGATTTGCTGAAAAACGTTATTTACAACAAAGGTGAGAACGAAGGAGAGATCGTTCTACCGTCGGGATCGAAACGCTTTTGTCTTCAACAGAAAGAACACAGCTGTTTTCGTTATATGATTGACGAATTTATTAGTTAATTTTGTGACATTTAAGCGCTGGTCTACAATACATGGAGTAAGCTGGAGTAAGGGATAGGAGTAAGGGAAAAAATCCATTTTATTTCTTACTCCTACTTCAGCTCTTAGGCTTACTCTCGGTGAATCAAAATGCCATCAATCAGTGTTACAAATATTTAAAAAATTGTGCCCGTACTTCAGCTTCCTTACACCAAAGGCTCGAAGTTAGGGCTCTCCCTTACTCCTTACTCCACGTATTGTAGACCAGCGCTAAAGCCCAATGTCCACGATGCTAGAA